CTGTCGGGGCGGCCGCCGTGTGAGGCGCAGCGGGGTTTTGACAGCGTTATTCTTCTTAAAGTTCTGCCTGTTCTTTGTGTGTGTTGTTTTGCTTTTATAGACGCCAGGATTACATAACTGCGTACGGAGAGAGCAGCTGCAAGATTACACGATGCAGATTAGAGATTACGTTGATTCAGCAGATTGTCCTGTGCATGTCTGAGAAAGATTACACCAGCAGAGTTAAGAATATCCATTTGCTGTGGTAAGCTGTGGTTTAAGTAGAACAAATTAACTCAATACAAAATTAAATGCAAAAAAAGGAAGTAAAAAAACCCCCCAAGGTTAAGAATGTGCTTTAAATGGACAGAATTTAAAAAAAAAAGAGATTGAAATTCAAGTTTCAACAGTTCTCTCATATGCTGAGCCGCTGTGGCAGCTGGCGCTGGCAGCAATCAGTTATTACTGTCTGGATGATGTTTAGCTTAAAAAAAATCAAAATCAGTATTATGAAGACTAGTTACATTAGCTTCCTGATGACTACCATGGAAAAGTAAATATCTAAACTCTTATGATAGATATTTTTTAGTATCTCAAAATTATTTAAGCGATACTGCTCTGTTTTATTAAATGTCCATGTGCTAAACTGTCTCCTTGTATGCCAGTTCGTAATACGGATTTTTTGAGTTCTGATTTTTGGATCTGAGATTACTGACATTTGAGAGCTGACATTCTGATGGACACTATATCTACCACTGAGATACGAATAAAAATTAATCACTCAGTGAGAACCTTTAAGTTTTATTACATTTCAGTTGATTTCTTGGAGAGTTTAGGGATGAAACTTGGGAGCGAAAGTGCCATAGAAGAAATCAGTAAACACACAGAAGGAAAGAATAGTGTTGTGGGGTTTTTTTTTCCAAGCTTGATAGTGTTTCTTTTAATGCAAATGTCTTCTAAAATTTATTAACCCCACACACACATAAGCACACAGAAGCTCGAGACTGGAATCTCCCTCTCAAAATTACAAATATGTAGTATGACTACAAGTAGATACATTTGACAGAAGCCTCAACTGAAATGCAGCTTTGCCAACTTCTGTAGGAATATCTCATACAGTAGAACTGGGGTTTTAGATAGGAATTTGCAGTTGGTTGTAAACTACTTAGGAAATTTTAGGAATGGAAAGTTTTCCCTTAAATTTACTGTAATGTCTTAAATTGTGATTTCAACCTCATGACAACAGTTTTACCAGCTGTTTTAGTATATAATTAATCCTAGACATACTAGAGTGGGTAAAATCAAAATGTAAACCTAAAGTTTTTCTGTAGGCATTCCTAAGACAAGAGGACTCAGTCATTTGTTGCCGTTTCAGAAAACTGCAATAGAAAGAATTTTGAACAACTGTATTCAAAAAATTCACCTGTCAATCACAAGCATGTTGAGACTTGTGAGCTATTTGGCATCTGTCTTCGCTTCTGTCTTTTGTTAAGTGTGGCTATCCCATCTTAAAAGAAACTTTCAGTATATAAATGTGAGTAACACATTGTCCTTATACAAATTTGTTGTAATACCTCATCTTGAATTCTTCCTTATTGAGATCTCCATTTGTTTCAGGCAGTTTGGTGGATTTTTTCTGACGCCTGATGATTTTCTGTGCTAAAATCAGTTATGACCTTCTTATGGTAAGGGTATTAGAAGTTATCACCTAGATAACAAAATAAACAGACTCCTTTTAACAAGACTTCAGGACAGTTCCTGGCTCTTGGAGAAAATAAGAGGTGCAGACTACTAACTGCTTGATAGATATCAAGGACACATCTCACAAGGAAATTTATGTTTAATTAGCCTACTAAGCAGATAGTGCAATTTTTAAAATTTTTTCCCTTCAGTGTTTTCACAACACAAATATTTGAGCTCAGTATTGGGGCAGAATGAGATTTCACCTCTTTTGGATTTTAAAAAAGAATACATAATGCAGTAAAATCCCATTCTTGAAGACAGCTCTAAGGTGCAACTTAATCTAAATGAACAAACAATGTATATTTGAAATAGCCATGTGACTGAAATGATCTTTAATTTGGGAGGGAGTTTATATAGAGATTAATTTTAAGAATGTTTGGATAGCGAAGAACCATAAAACAAAACCCAAATCATTATTCAGTGCTTTCTTTTTATCTGCCTGTGCTCATTAAGATTTCCAGTTATCATCTTTTGGGGATTCTGCATCTCATGGATGCTTAGAACAGTTAGCCATTAAAAGTACACAAAAATAAGTGGCAATAAGGATTCTGTTTTAAGTATATGGGGAGTAAAGCACACAGGTTCATTCAAAGACAAATCTAATGAGTTCAGAAGACTTGTTCCAGCCAGCCTCCAGTATGGCCAGATATCAGCACATATTTTTGCTGAAGAGCTGAACCCATTGCAGTTTTGTGTCCGAGTGCTCAATTTGCCCAGAAATCCAATAGTAGTTCTCAAAAAAGAAAAAACTGTATTCTTTCCCCTAGTGTTTTAGTGCCCAAGAAGCACGAGAGCGCATGAATTTTCTTGCGTGGCTCACTTCCATCTGTGGTTTCTCTGCTACAGAAAAGGAACCCAGTATTTCCATCACATTTGCAGCATTCAGTGCGACACACACACACACATAGAGTTCATGCTTCATTCAGCAAAGTACTTGAACATGCTTTAACTTAGTGATTTAGGATATGGTTAACTCTAGAAATGTGATTTAAATCCTTTCCTAAACTGAAGCCCTTGTTAACGGATTCAGACTATGAAAATAAAGATACCCAGGACTTTCAAGTAATTGAAGAGGCTGAAATAGTATCAGTATATATCAGTATACACAGGTGACCTAACTTTAATGTATAAACTGTAATCTTTCAAAGAACGTATTGTTATTATTAACATCAGTTTAGATGACAAAGATGTGGGGAAAAGGGTAGAACTGATCTGAAGTTTTTTCAACAAGCTGGCACAGAGTGAAATAGGCTATATTTTAAATTTCAGATTAAAATACTCTAACTTGATACACAAAGTAATCTTTCATGAACACCCAAGATGCATGCAAGATGAACATTTCAGCATTTGTGGAATTGGATTCTTAGCTTCTGTGAGCGTAGGCTATAGCTGTGTCTTAAAAGAAGACATTGAGTTTGGAAAGTGCTAGATAGATGCTCAAATGACCTATTGTGTTTTTAGTACTGATTCAGTGCACAGATAGATGTAAGCAAGTTAGAATCGAGTTTAGCAACAATTTCTGCTATAGCGTTTCATTTTCAATATATCAGCTTACTTTTTTAATTAGAGAGTCCAATTTATTCTTTTTAGGACACAGATACATACTTAAATTTCTGTTCAGAGTGCAACAAACACCATACATGACTACCTAATGATTTACTTTCCAGTCTTTAAAAAGAAGTCACAACTACGAATGCTGTCAGCAACACCTCTTTTGAAAGTGATCTTTAGACCCAAATTGTGGTAGTTACCAGAACTTAAAGAATAGAATTATGCATACACACATACATCCTTTTGGATTGTTTAGGAAGTATTTTCACCCCCTTCCTTCGCCACCCCCTGTTTCCTTGAATATGCAAGCAACAAAGTTTGCAAATAAACAGTTAGTAGTCCCATAGCCACCTTCAAACTGTCTTGTTCTCTGCAGTCAGCTTATAAACAGTTTGTAGTATATGTAACAATTAGTCCTAGTCCAAACAGCTGATGAGAATGAGGTGCATAGCACATCCATTTAACACACTGATGCAGTAGCAAACTGTCAGCTTCCTTTAAGGAATTTTCTGCTGGATCATTGGATTTAAGCATCTCCTGAAAAAGTTCGACTTATACCGGTAGCAGCACCAGAAAGATAGTGAGATGCATACTGACAATAAGATGAAGGAAAGGAGATGCGAGATCTCCTTTTCGCAGTAGCAAAATCAAGTTATTTTGTCTGTTCAAGGACCCATATCCTAATTAAATCTGGAAAAGAGGCTAGTCTGAAATTTAGGTTATATATCCTATTTATATTTTCTGTTACGAGAGCTATTGGATATTATACAACTTTGTGGCACGTTCTGAGAAAAGGGAAAGTAAGTTAAAAAGGACTGCTTACTCCAGTAAAATACAAATTTAAATCAGATTTCTGACTGCTGCATATTATATTTTTATGATGCAATTTATATATACTACGCTATGTGAATGTTTTGAATTCAGCAATAAATTGTAGTACTGGCAACCCTAGAAAAATATGCAAGTGATTCTGTGAGCATAACGTGGTGTTACCCTATTCTGTACTTGGCCTCTGTATGCATGTTTGTCTTTGTTGTAACCTCACCCACATTGCACTACATGTAAATTTGAAGCCTATTTAACATGTATAGAATCCAGACCTTGACTGCTAAAAATAACCATCTCCAGGATGATTTATGTCTTTTAAAAACAGGATTTTAGTTCTGAAGTGAATCATGTGGGTTTCTTTCTTTGTACCACGCTGTGTTAATTGTACTTGGTTGTGTACACAAAGTAAGCAAAGTTGCATATCTGTGAGGCAGCCCAAGAGGACAGCCTTTGGGTGGGGACCTTGCAGTGTCACAGGGAACTGCCATTTCAGATTTTCTTGTATGGACAGGACACTTAAAGAGCTAGAGAAGCCATTTGAGGTCCCATGAAAAACAGAACTGTCTGCTTATACAGTAAGTACAAATGCATTATACCTTTTGAAACGGGCCTCTACAGAAAGTTGCCTTTCTACTACTAAAAGCTGAAGTACAGGCAATTATTTCTGGTAAAGTTGATAATTTATTTTATTTGATCACTTAACGGGAAAAAAATCTTTCTTCCAATATAGGACAGTTTGCTTAAATATTTACTTTATGTACAGTTTAAAGTATAATTAAGAAAAAAAGAGCAAACATTAAAAAATTATCACGTTAGGCTTGTTCAGTAACCTATTTGGTACGGTAAACCTTCACTATACCTTACAAGAAAACAGAATATAGCAATGTTAGATGTTTATAGAGTTGGCACATCTACAGAATAAGCTTCTTTTCAGCAATGTCAAGTGAAGATTGGTTTCTGTCCAGGCAAGGAGTTTCTATTCCATATTTTAAAAATAATTGTACAAGTCTTGACCTTGCTGAATTCATCCAGACATGAGAAACACTCAAGTGAAACACACACATTCTCTATGAGAAATTACAAATTGGGAAGTTCTTGTTGTGAAATGCAAGAATTCCACCACCAGGATCTTACCTGACTGATTATCAATCTGAGGACTGGTTCAACTGTATGCACTGACTTTCAAGTACAAATGTCAATTTAATTTGCTAGCCAGAAACAGTAATTTAGGTTGGCTGAAAGCATCGGGTATTACAATTCTGAATAAGCATGGCAGTTTGAAAAAAGTATTCATTGTTTAAACATGCTTTAGTGTGAATTTGGTTTTACTCTGTAGTACTGCCCTTAGGAGTTCACTGAACTTGACAGCAGACTTGAATGTTTGCCATTAACTGTGAATTAGTGGAACTTGCGTATAATATAACAGTATGTTACTGTCAAAGTACAACAAATGTCTTAGCAGCAACACTGAAAGATGCATCCCAATAGCTATTTCTTCAGGGAAAAAAGTCACTGGGATTAAAAATGACATGCTTAAATTTACATGTTTGTCTTTAGGTGCTGTTTTAGAAGAATAGCCTCTGACCAAGAATAAAAATTGTTGTCGGAATAATATGCGAACAGGTAATTTCTTCCAAGTCTTTACTTGGATGCGTATACATACATAATTAGAATTCATTAAAATTGCAATGATCTTGACAGCTGCCATTGGGATTGTCACAACTGCTCCATAGGGCTGTCTTCACTTACTAGTCAGCAAACTAGAGTTCACCAGTCAGTGGTGCAAATTCTCTTAAGGAGATGTTTGCTTTGATCAGTCCTAATATGTCACAGTTCTCTATTGATTAGCATACAGTCCAAAGTTGCCTGTAAGTGAGGAAGCATGCATCAGCCCCTTTATCTTCTGTCAACATTGCCCACTCCTCCCCCTTCCCTTTTTTCTTCTAGCAGACTTCAGGATTAGACAGTCTGTAGTATTTTAGCCTCTGGACTAGACAAGACAGCTGAGTCAACGTGTGGATTATCAAGGCTGGCTTGGTTCTTTGGGGGTTAAGGTGGTGTTGAGCCTTTATTTGTTTTTCTTTTTAATAGATAGGACAGTCAGGTTACAAAAGTTTAAATGCAAACAGACAAGATAGTTTAGGGACAGGTTTTCATGCATGTCCTCAAAAAGAGTAACTGAGAGTCAGTGTATTTAGAGGCCGCTAATACCTCTGCCAGTTTTAAGTATTCACAGTCTAGCATTAGAAAGAACAATCTTGTTTCATTCCTCTTCATTTCTCCTCCCACCAAAACCCGACTTTTTAAAAAAGTAACTTTTGTGTCCTGCTTCTCTTTATTTAATCTCTCACATAGAAGGATATATCAAAATACGTATTTATACACATTATGTAGAACATATGTTGGTAGAGTTTCTACAGTTGTATTAATTGAAAAGCTAAATCTTTCGTATTTTTTTTTAATTGCCCATCGTCACTTGACTTGTTAAACTTTTCCATCTTGATTATGGCAGTCTGAATATAGTATACATTTGACTTTCAAAGCATACAATTTGCATTTTTAGGTTAATATAATGTATTGACTTACTTCATGAAAAAACATAACACATTCACCGATGCTAATGTAATTGGGTTTTGGCTTGTATTGAACCCCTTCTGATTCTCCAGTATACGCTTTTGCATCATTGACTATAAATTTAAAGGGATAAACTGTTGCTTTCATACTTTCCTGTCTATAAATACAGAGCTGTAGCTTTCAAATTTGATCCAAACTACTGCATTTCAGTAAAGTGGGTATGGAATACAATAATACATATTTTTGTATTGTAGCAAAACCCACTACTACTAGTAATTAATAATATTTTTTTTTTAGTATTAGAGCATCCTGAATTTTCTTTTATTCTCTTTCATAATTCTGTCACCTACTTTATACTGTATTACTCTGGTACTTCCAATAAGTAGTAGCAAAGTATTAATACACAAAATAGAATTAATGAAAAGCACAATTGGATGGAAAATGGGGCACCTGATCTACATGGACATAGAGGTTTCTTCAAATATCTCATTACTGGTAAAATTAAGGTTACCATTTTTCGCTTAGCACTGGAAAGAAGTCTAGCTCTAGAAAGAAATAGCCTATAGTGACATTGTCTGTAATTACAATCAAAAAGGTTTTGAAGGCTTCCTAGGCACTTTTTGTTCTCTCTCTCCACCTCTCTCACTTTTCCCTAATAGGCCTAAGACAGAGTGCCTGAGGTATTTTGCCAGAACAGAAATGTCTATTTGGACTGCAGAGCCGGTCCTTAATACACAGATCACACCGTAACAGTGAGGGAATCATTCTCTCAAATGTTCTGAGACATGAATGACTGGAGGCATTTCGTTTTCTTCAGTACTCTACCACTATGCCAGTGTGAGACAGGCCTATTTCTGCATAAAGATGAAGAAAAGAAATAGAACCATAAGGCAGGATTTTAAGGAGACTAACAAGTTCTCATTAATTCTCATGAGAATTTCTTTGAAGGCTTTCCACGAGCTGTCTAAAGGGATTTTTCTGTGGGGTCCACCTTCCATCATCTCGCTTTTCCATCTGGTGGAATTTCAAGAACACTTAACTCCCTCAGATGCTTAATAGAGTTGAGAGCAGGTCAAAGTTGAGAGTTTTACTTTTTCTCTCTTGATTCTTATAATTGTGTAGATATCCCGATACAATGTTCATGTATTCAATATCCTCTCTTCATTTAAGGAAGGATGTAGCCTTCAATTTAATTACACTGTCACAGAAGTTCCACTGTTATGTTTGAATAGACTAAAATCAAATAATTTATAGTTCTGGTTTAAGAACCTGCTTGCTTTTTTCTGTTACCATTTTATTCCTATTGCAATTGTACTGTTACCCATGCAAAATAATTTTTAAAGTCTTTTAATAGTGAACTTGCAGTAAATGAATTGCCAATAGACAAGCACAGAAAGCTTCAGAGTTAAAATAAATTTCCATTTAACTTCTAACAAGGTAGGGCAGAACACATTTCTGTTAGGCCACATCCTGAGCCAATGCAACAAGATCAAATATGAACAATCTTTACAGCCTTACCTCTCCCCTCCTCCAGCTCCCTAATTTATCTGCACACATGCACAAAGGTCTAGTTACCATTTGGATGCTGGCACTTTGATAACATGAAACTGAATTCCTGTTGAGCTCTGCAGTATAACTGCCTTTGTCTTAAAATAATATAAGGACTTTACTCACACTCCTACGTCAATATGCCATCAGAAATGGAAGCATGTATGAAAAGATGGGAGAGTGGAATTACTGGAGATGGTCTAGAGGGTAGCAGGATGCACGATGTTTTTGTTGCACAGGGTTAGAAGTAGCTAAGCTTTCCTGCTACTCTTAGAAAAGTCAGGTTTATTTTATACACAAAGCTGTAGAAGGTCCCTCTAGGGTAGAATGTCTTACAGCCACACTTCCTCACTTTTTTCTGCAGAAATAAAGGAGAACCCTAACTCTTTTTCCTGAAGGACAAATAAGAAAATTAAAATCTTGATTCCTCTTAAACAACACTATATTTTGTATAGAACATGTCTTCTATACATAAATAGCGGGACAGCAGAATTCTTATTTTCAGAACTGGGAGAAATAACAGCAAACACCACCTAAAGTGTGAGGTAACACATGATTCTCACGCTTGTGATGTCAGAAGATTGCTCTATTTTTCTTTTGATTGAGATATTGTGGTTTCATAAGATTGAAGAAATATATATGAGTTACTGATGCATTAAATGTATCATAAATATATGCAGTCCAACTTCCAAATTTAGACTGCTTTCAAAAAGGGTGAAATGGTACAGTGAAATGATATTCTATTTAAGCATAAAATGGACAACTGCTGCTACGAGTGCCAACATTAGTATCCTCTATTTTGGGTTTTATTAGAATGCCTAATTGTGTTTAAAACACTAACAATTCATATAAGCAGCCTATTGAGTTAGAAAAAAGCCTTTTTGAGATCTGTGAAAATTACATTGTACCAGGCAGTCTTCTACATAAGTGACACTTCATAGGCTAGCTCCTCCATTGGTTGTTAAAAATTGGGGTGGGAAAACCTGGTGGTATCCAACTGCGCTATGATTCAGCTCCTAATACAGCTTGAAGCTGTCTCAGAGTGTCCTGGTCCACACCTGAGACTATTCTCGGTTTATCTGTACTGACTCCGGTTCTCTCACAGAAGCTAGTTAAGCTAAAGATAGTTTGCGCCACTGGAACAGGACAAACCAGACTTCATACAGGTCGTTCTGTGGATCGCTGTACGCAGTATGGCTTGCGGTCATGAAAGGCAAATGAAGTAACGGAGAATTCAAAAGTTTTTCTCGCTGCAAGAGAAATCTTACAGAATCATAGAATCATTAAGGTTGGAAAAGACCTCTAAGATCATCAAGTCCAACTGTCAATCTTGCATTTATTCATGTAATTTAGGTGCTTTACATCTGATGTGGTGATAAATTTGTGATCTTTTTGCTTATTGTTAAATGAAACAATTCTGCAAGACAGATAGTGCTATCTGTTGCTGGCCTGGAAGGCAAGACTGATAGCCTTATTCGTTCATAGGGTGGTTTTGTTTGTGTGTGGTGGTTTGTTTTGGTGGGGGGTTTTTTTGTTTGGTTTTGTTTTGTTTTTTAAGGAAGCCACCCACAGTCCCCAAAAGTATAATTAAGATCTCCTTCTATTGATAAAAATACAGAAGTGTCTATTTTTCTCTGTGTTTGTTTTGGTCTTATTTTTAAGATCATGAAGAGCTCTGTGGCACCAGTTATGGATCTTTTTGTCTAAATGGAGGGATTTGTTATATGATTCCTACTGTATCCAGTCCATTCTGCAGGTCAGTGAAACTAAAGCTTGTGTGTTTAAGTATTGGACAGTAGCTGTCTAAAACTATTTCTCCATTTTGCTTCTTTAAGAAATTACTGTTAAAATGTTATATAAAAGAAAATGCCTATTACCTATGGCTGTTCCAAATTCAGTAATTCATGCTCAGATTACTTATCTAGCTTGCAGAGACATGACAATATGAGAAAAATGAACGTGTATACTTGGTGTATACTTGTTTGACAGGTGCAACAGTACTCAGTTACGTGTGCATTCAGGATGATATCTATATTTAGAGCCATATTTCCTCTCCTCATTAGAATACAGAAAGGAACAAAATACCCTTTGCCTCATGGAGTATAGACTGTAGGAGAGGCATTCAGAAAGGCAAAGTACATTCCCAGTTTTTCTTCCAGATGAATCGTATTGCAAAAATTCTTATAACATAAAATGGTCTGACCTGAACAAAATGAAGAGGCACAAAAAGGAATATAATCTTTTAAGGGGAAAAAAAGAACATAATTCAAGACCCACTATGTTCTCTGAATCTCACTGAAATACTCAAAGGGCAGCTTTACAGTGACAGCCAAAGACCACTTGATAAAGAAACATCAAGGCAGCAAATATAGATACTTCTTACACCATTTGTTTATGGGACCATTCTTCTTTTTGAAGCCCATGCAGCACACTGGAAAAGAAGCACTTCCTATTTTTGCACGTGGATACATTTCCTGCATAAATACAGCCCTATCCTTTTATTTTCTCATTTAGATGCCTAATTAAAGTATTTCTTTCTTTTGTTTGGGACAGTTCAATTTAAACATTTAAACTCAAGCATATAAACTCATCTAGTAGATGAGGACAGAAGAGGAAGTTTTGTGGTAAATGCTCATTGAAAAATATACACAGCATATCACTGTCATTAAGCGTATTGTCCAATGTCATCCAATGAATCAGATCCAGAAGTGAGGATAAAGCTCGGAAGTGCTGTATGATGATGATTTATTCTAACTGCTAAACCTTGCAAGCTTATGCAATGTAAAACGAATACTACACACACAAAAAGTGTAGTTGAAAATGTTGAAATATGTGTGGTTTTTTTCTAGAAGGAATCCCATATTATTGATATTAAAATACTTAAATGAAAAAAGAATGCTGAGACTAGACAGCATCAGTTACCCAATTTCAAAGCACCCTCTCAACTATTGCTAGACTGTGTAATGAGGAAGGTGTATTTGATGCAATAACTGTAAATATGAAGTAACAAATACTCAGAACAATTCATTCTTCAGGAGCACAAGTTAGTCAGCATAGATAATTTCCACTTTAAAAGGGCTCCAAATGAATTCATTTGTAATTCAGGTACTAGAGGATTTTATAATCTGCTGAAGCAGAAAAGTAACATCTTAAGAGCATTTCTGTTACACTCAGGCAATCTTACTGCATTTAAATTATCAAGTATTTTTCTTCTGTATCTAGTGGTTGATTATGAAGATATATGGGTTTAAATAGAAGCATTCTATTTAAGCATGTCCTCATTCTAAGCATGTTCCTTAATCAGTCAGAGAAGGCTAATTATAGATGAGAAAGGTTTTGTTTACACACAGATATCTTAGTAATCAGCAGTGATGTGAATAGAAACAACAGAATAAATGCATCGCTCTTCTGCAGAATTCAGAAAAATATTCGGTGCTTTGGAACTTCAAGACTGGCATCATCACACAGTTGCGCAAAGTTTTCTTTGATGCAGGTTTCTGCCAAATCCCACCTAAAGCTTCCAAGTGTTCTCAAACGATCATCTCCCACCAACAGAAAAACTGAATCAGTTTTAGACTCAAAGGCAGAATGATCGTTAGTACAGCATTGATTAAAAGGGGGAAATGGAGCAAGAACAGACTAACAAACTGTAAAAATACCTTAAAACACATTTGCCTTGACATGCTACTTATTTACACAGATGTGTTGTGCTAAACATAGTTAGTCCAGATTACCTGATGCAACATCACTGGAAGTAATTTCACAATGTAACTGGGAAAATTGCGTCATTCTTTAGAAATACGTATTTTGTAGCATGCTAACAAATTAAGAGCCACTGTTTACTTTTGGAATTTCAGTTATTTTTACCATTCAGAAATGGATATATATGCAAGGTAGAGATTTAATAGAAACAAAACATTAGTTGGCCCCCCTCCCCTGTGCAACATTAGCAGATTTTAAATACAGCTGATGTGTGTTAAAACATGAAGTTGCTCAGCTGCCATCTTCCCTCATTCCTTTCTTAACAATGAGTTAATGTTCTCGGCAGCCAAAGGCGCACCTGTCACCACAAACAAGATGAGCTTCAAACCCAGGAATGCTCAAATGTACTAAACAAACATGCAGCAGAATGGAGAAGGATGGAAAAGCGTCTGCCTCAGGTGTATCATAAAACATGAGGCTGAAAGCTGCCTCAGCACCTGATGTGCAGCTGTCCCGTAATCATTAATTAACGCAGTGCAGAATTAAGATTTTGTTGTCTGAGGGGAAGCTCTGGTATTTCTGCTTTGTCTTACGCATGGCAGATTTCTGAGAGCCGCCTTTCTGTATTTCAGACAAAATACAGATAGTGCAAGACCACACTAACGCAGATCCTCTGCTTCTGAGGGCAGTACACACAGAAATTAATAGTGAATGTTCTCCTTTTGAGGAGGGGATCATATTCTGGAGAGGGCAGTGCGTTCAGGCTAAGTACTGCAAAGGACGGAGGTAGACCTTAGAAATCTCCTGCCTGAAATTCTTGTGCATGGTTAAAGGATATCTCCACTTTCCCCTTCCTTTGCTTCTACCCTCATCCAATCCCTCCTCCACCTTTCCTATACTAATCCAATAAATCCCATGCAAATTCCTTCTATCACTTTCTGTATACCCATCCTTGCCTGGCTCTTTCTCTGAGATGGGTCCTTCATTCTCTTTTTCAAATATCCCCACAAGTGATACACTTACTGTGCTGTAAGCCTTCAGAATATACACACTGCAAGTTGCCAGTGAAGGGCTTCCCACTCATCTGGGCTTTTCTTCTTTCTCTGCCTCCAAAACTATACTTTCACATACCCCAGGCTCTTCTGAAAACACAGTGTCCAATTAGTATTTTTCAATTCTGCTTTTAGCTTGAAAAGTAGGAATAAAAGTTAGAATACACACCACAAGTATGGCAAAAAAAAAGTCATTAATTAAGATTTATTTTTAATGGGACATAAGATAATGCTTCATTTTATATTTTATTTGTTTGAAAAGTATTAGCGATCAGAATGCCAGATCATTGCCAGATATGGTAAAGCTTGCCATATAAACACATAGCTAAGGGAGCTCTAGGGGAAAATAACCCATTCCTTCAACTTCTCTTCAGTCGTAGCATGAGTTTTATTTTACTATGTATATGAATACAGCTTCACAGTAAGTTTTGAAACTCCTCTGAACACAAAACTTTATAAAAAGCTGCTTAGGTCTTCCAACTAACTTTGCCATTGCTTATTCACTTTGGCTTTAAATTCTTTTTCGTACTTACTAGACACCCTTATAGTGTATGGATTAGGACAACTTTTAGGAGCCTGCAGACTAAAGATTATGGTGATTTTGAAGCTCATAGCCATGTAATCTGAATGGCATTGACAAGCAGATAATTTTTCAGCTGTCTTTTTCTGCTTAGAGCTTTGTATTTACATGGAAGTGATTTTTATACCAAGAAGCATCCAGTTAAAGGAAGACTAAAGGAAAACTAAAGTCAAGACTCTCATAGTATAACTAAGCAATGGGGGTCTGTGTGCATGTTTGACTCAAATCCTACTTCCGTTTTTAAAGTCTGTCAGTTACTTGCTTATGATGCCCACCTTAGAGTCTGGAAGAGAAAGAAACCTTACCTTCTTACCTGAATCAGACAGGCAGCGGACCACTTGCACTGTCTCGTGATCTGCGTCTGCAAACGAGACAGCAGTAATGTCTTGTGTTATTGGAGGGCTGTTACACTTACATTTTAGTTACTGATCAGATTGTAAAGGATCAATATAATGGCAGACCCGCTGGTCGTCATCTGACATCTTATCCAATGCAGTCTATTTCCTTCCACCTTGTATTGATGCCGATATGGGTAGTTTTGATTAATATCCTATGGTGAAAGATTCTGTGGGTTTCTTTACATATATTATGTTAGTGTTTTGTCTCCAGCACAGCTCCTCCAGTTAAGGCTGGCTCATTTCATCTGACAAGAGGTGTGGGCGTGTGTGCATGCGTGTGCAGGCATCTAGGAAAGCAGAAATCTGGACACTATCTGAAAATGGGAGTTTCTAGTCTCACAGCTTTTTCTCAAACATTTGAAGGCTGTTGTCTTTCAACTCTGGTTGAGTTGGAAATTCTAATTTCTTAGAGGAGGGAAGACCTTTTTTCCATTTTAAAAATCAACTTTGGAATGCTACATAGTAGGACCATTTAAAGCCAACAGACAGCACATGCTGAAACAGCAGGCTAACAGCATGCAGGTGATGTGCAACAGCAATACCTGGCCTAGTGACCACCAGACTTAATTAGTGTAACTCCCTCTTAGTATAGCCTAGGAGCAGGCTTCTCCCTCTTTTGCACTCGTTCATTCAAGAGCAGAAGCACAGTTGCCTGCCGTATTAACAACTGCAAGTGTGTCATGCTTAACTTCTGCTCTACTTGTAGGCATCCATTACAAGCAAGATAAACTATGAGTTGCTACTGACTTTTAAGGCTGTGTATAGTAAGACTGACTACCTCTAGGAGACACTATATAGATACCATCATAGCCCAGATGCTTGTTAAAGACTACTTTTCTGTCTTGCTTGCAGTCACTGTGTATGTAACTCCACTGAAATTATTAGAGCTCTGCTAATGCAACACGATAAGCAGATCTTCTGAGTGAGTTCCACTGGTAGTTATTGAAGTCTGCTTAGCTTCTTTCCCACCAATTAGGTGGGAAAGGACTTACAGTAGAAACCTTTCCCTCTCTTGGTTGTCTTAAAGCATCAGTTGCTTCTGTATTTAACATTGTCCTTCACCTGTTTGTACAGCAGCACTGATGACTTCATAAAAGCTTGTGCAAGCCAATATTTGAACATTTGGATTTTCAGAAATGCCCTAACTGTAGCAGTGCCTGTTGGTAAGGTCACATTAGCTGTAATTTTGTTTATTTAAATGTAACCAAAAGATACCTCATCTCAATTTTCCTGTTTCTATGAAAACCTCCATAATTTTCAGCTTATATGACAGTATTTTCTACATCACAACATTCTCTAACCCTAGCCTTTTACCTAATCCTATATGCAACTCTCTTCAGATAGAATGAGTCTTCTCTTCCTCCTGCTTCATTTTTCTCTCTAGGCTACTGACTTACTCCCTTTACACTCATTCTCTAGAACTTTTCCATGAGCCTTAGTTTGATGCCAAAACCTATGTATTTTTTTCCTGTATGATTTTAGCCTTGCATTATTCTCCAGTTTTCATTGGTATTCAAGAATACGTCTATGAATTTTATATTCCATTTTCTATCCCTGTTATTCTATTCAGCTCTCCAAAGCATTTCTCTCCCACTTGCTAGAGAACAATGCCCCACTCAAACTACACTTCTATTCTTAAAGTATTCTACAGTATTTCAGAAATAGGCCACTGAAATGCCACTATACTTACAGTAAATATCTGGAATATTATCTCAAGCAATCAGAGCAGACTGGCTACCCTTCCGTCTCCCAGCAGTCAAACATAGTAACTTTGAAAAGTCTCACATTGTCCTTAGTAAACGGTGGTTGTTTGATCAGTTGCACAGCTTTAATATATGATGATAATTGAATCTTTTTTCCTAGTGTCTAAATCTTCCATTTTATTTCCAAAGGCAAAGAATTAAAAGAAACGGTAGTAATTCTTTGTGCAATAGTTTAGACCAGTAGTACTGAAATAGTGGTCCACAACCTACAGAAAGCAGTGCTGGGAGTCACATCAAGCATGCCTGGTGGTATGCTCACAGTGATCCATTCGTCTTATTTAGATATGCTAGATATCTCTCTTGGCTGCTCTTCCCCACTCCGCCTTCTTATCCCTCATCTGAAATTATACCTTGCAGCTGCCAATGGCAGTTGAGAACTTCAAGTATGTTACGGAGTTCAGCCCATTTTTCTCAGCTGGAGCCTGAAATTGCTTATGTCACAGATTATTATGACTTCAGTGCTAGAAATAGCAAGAAGGAGCAAGATCTTTAGTAATACAAATAGAGAGAAGCAAATTTAAATACATAAAAGATACATGCAGGATGTAGTTATTGAATGAAGTGCTTTCTGTTTTCTGTAATGCAATAAATTCCTTAAGAAAACTTAGCAGGATAAGTGCAAAATATAAGACGAATATTAGTTTAGCTTCTTTGACTCAATATGAATTACTAAACCATTCATTTTATTTATTTTTAATAAAATATCATACCATTTTACTATGGTAAAATACCATATTCATTTTAATCCCTTCTTCAGAAGAAGTTTTCAGAAGCTGAATACATAAAATAAGCATAGTAGAGAAGACTTTTAGCTAGGTCTCTCCAAGAGAGGGTTATTCACCAAGCATGTAACATGTTCTGTCGTGAACTATTACACTGCATAAACTGCTTTTGCAATTTAAGGTGTACTGTGTCTCAATGTATTCCCATTTCCTTGATCTATTCAGCTGACAGTACTAGCTCTTCAACAAAGAGCTAGAAAGTTACATGAAAGGGGGAAAAGAAAGCATGACTACTGTGTGAGAACCAGTGGGATAACACAGTTAACACTAAAGAGGTGGATTTAATTAGTTAAATCTGCCAGTGGGGGAGGCAGATCTAACTGCAAAGTACACCATTGTGAAGTATATTGCTAATCCAAGGAATGTATTAAGAAAGATATGGTTTAATATATAAAAGCAGTATGGTTCAGAATATAAACTTGATGCCCAACATGCCCAATTCCCTTTGTTCCAGAAATGAGTGGAAATTCCGTAAGAAAACTTGCTGTAAAGCAAATATAAACCTTGATTTATGCCATAACAAGTTCTCTCCCCACTGAAGACCAAAAGAAACCTTTGTGCTTTTCATATTAGATGACAAGTCACCATCTAATCTGAATAAAACTTGGTTTCCCAGGTGTATTGAGAATTACACAGGAGCCCGTTGTGAGGAAGTTTTGCTGCCTAGCATCAAGTCCCAAACAAAAGGTGACCTGTTTGCAGCTTTCTTGGCTTCACTTCTTCTTCTAGGAGTTCTTGTAATTGGAGCATTCTACTTCCTTTGCAGGTAAAAGTGCTTCAGAGTGCTGAAGCTATTTAATCAAGTAGAAATTTCTTCTGGTAATCATGTACTAATTATTTGAATGTAAAAGTATGTGATGAATTATCCATAAGGTTTGTATGGTTATTCAGCATAATTAATGTGGATGTCTCAACTTGTTGCTTGTAATATTTTACTTACTGGCATGTAGTTTTCTCAATGTCTTTTCTAAGCTATTACTTATAGTTACTTTGTAAAAAATACATGTAGTATACCCATTTCTGAGAGATTTTACAGTCTACCTAGAGTTAGTGCTAACATTTTAAAACATTAGTCAACCCTTATGTTGTCCAAAGATTGAGAAGTAGAAGCAAATTACCAAAGTGCTAGGGATCAGAAACTGTTCCACTGCATTGAATTGGCAGCCAAACCAACTGGTGCCATTAGCTCCCAATTCCTTTACAGCTCCTGGTTTAAAAAGGAATACTAAGGAAAGAATCAAATTCAAGAATAATCCCAGGTAGATGTTTATTAACTAACTAACATCTAGAGCAAATCAGAGGGCTAAGTCATTTATCCAGGATGATCCATGTTTGAGTAGCATGAAAATGTCAGTGCTAGACAGCAGGTGCTGCAGGTTTGGTTTTAGTAGCATTTTAGGCATATTAGGACTTCGAATGAAAACACGTAAGCAATTATTGGGGTTAAGTCAACTATTTGATGCTGTACATATATCTGTACAGTATATCAGTACAGTTATACCAAAACCAAGCAAACTTACTCTCTGCATTTATGTACGCAAGTCAACCTATGTCCCCTCTTGTTTTTAGAGTGCAGCACTTTTTGTAAGAGCTCATTTTGTCATATACTGCTAATACGTATTTATGCCCTTATGAGGCAAGTTACTAGGCCCCTGTAATTCTTAGCCATCACAGACTTGCAGCCTCTTCCTATTACTCCTATGCTGCATTTCTCCTTGGTTACGATAACCTAAGGTTCTTGCAATTCTGTTCTTTGCTCTCCCATAATCACATTGCCAAATCAACCTCTCTGATCAGTGTCTTTCAATGAGCGACCTTTGGAATAGCTGGTCTAGTTTTACCTCAGCTGCTGTCATGGAAACCCATTGAATGCCAGTTTTTCCCATAGCTGAATGTATTTAGAAGAGATAGAAAGCATTTGATAAAACAGAGTTTGTATAAAAAAAAACCCCTTGTTGTAGAGGATACCCCCCACCTTAGTCATTTTAGTTAAATTAATCCTGTCTTAGCAGTGGGACACCACAGCAGTTGTTCGCTAAAGAACATTTGCAGATTACTATAAAGTTATTAGAATAGAATACAGCTTTAACTAACTAAAGAAAAATTCATTCAAGTCTCATAGAGGTACGGAGAGTATTTCTTTAGAAGTAAAGCTTGTCTCTGAGAAGAGAAAAAAAGTCTTCAGGGAGCAGAGAATTCAGAGAGTAACCTGTGAAAAGATCCCTTTCTTCTTGCATACAGTAACATTAGGGAAGGCTGGAGACACAATTTACTGAGTTTTATGGTCAAAGAGCCTTGTATTGCAAAGTACAGAAGCTTAGAATAACAGCAATGACAGGTCTGTGCAAGTCTTTTATTAGACAGTTGGAAGATGAACCTCAACTACTCTATTTCTTTATAAGAAATCAATTTACTCAAGCTTTACCTAACTGGCAGAACAAGTGGTAGGACCTCTTTATTAGAGAAATAACAAGGGCAGCAACTCAGTCTTAACATAGTTGCCCTTGAACCTATCTTACATACCAGACTAGCTTGGGAAATCTCATAAAATCATGATCAACTTCTTCAGTGTAAAGAAAAGAACGGGACTGGCTAAAAATTGTCTTGTCTTACCTTTACACTTCAGAGACTGATGTAGCACAATCATCTTCTGCTAGAGAACTCATCTATAAAGGAAACACTTTACATCTAAAAGTCCTTATCTCTTGACTGAAGTGACCAACATATAAGAGGAGTCTCAAGGGGATACTTTAACCTACTCCCCTCTTTTCAGCTGTATAAACAAGTATTATTGCTAGCAGCTGTCAGTAATATTTTTTCCCAAGATTTGATCTACCACCTGTATCATAACATTCTGGAAGAGGGTGGAACTGGGGCTTGTAAGGGTTAGCTGAGAGTTTGCGTCATCCTTCACTTGTCCTCTTGACAGGATATATTAAATTTAAAATGTTAAGAGAAACATTGTGCTATCAAGTTTCCACTATTACACTTTATTGACAAATATGTTTGATCCAGAATCAGAAAGCAGAGAGTTTTTTCCCCCATATTGTGTGTTAGTAAGCATTTCTGTGGCTCTTTCAGCAGAGGATTCTAGTGCGGTTTTAGTATAAACAGTAATGCAATCTGGAGGGACGCAGAAGAGGAGATATTAATTGCAGTTTAGGATACAGAAACTGAATGCCTAAAATTATACATCAAATCTTTCAGAATTTAGGAAATCAGTGCTCTATTTTCTTGTCCCTGTCATCACTTGTACCCCACTTCCTTTCCAAGTTTTCTTCCTCTCAGGCTGCTTAGGGCAGATTTCAGGACCAGGCATGTGTGAGTGCATTTAATGCTCCCTACAAACAAATCCATTCAGCATGCAAGGGTGGAGAGAAAGGATTTCATTGCTCTGCTTATAAAACCAAATCATAAGTAACGGCGAAAGTAACCCATAAAAGAAAAGGGCTGTATAGGAAAAGCTCTGGGTGAACAGTGGGAAATAATTCTCCTTTTATATTTAGCTGAGTCATCACATTTTTATCAGCCGAGGATTTATTTTTCTCCAATCTGCCAACAATCTGCTGTTAAGCTGATTTCATGCTATATTTGATTATGTACTAGGCTTCATCAAGATGGTATGCTTTGGGAGAGCAAATGTACAAGGAGAAGGAGGAGAGAGAATCAAAGATAATGAAGAAACAGACAGTATTTGAAATGGCTAGAGGGCAAGAATGATGGAAAGTAGAACAAAATAAAGATAGAGGAAGGGAACTGAAGGTCTGAGTGAAAGGAACAGCAGAGAATGGAGGGAGGGAAGAGGGAGAAGTGGTCAAGGACTGCTGATGGAAAAAAAGCAGCTTAGAACTGGAAAAGATAAACAGTAGTCTAGGGTTAAACCTCCCACTGTTGCTGGAACCTGCTGAAGGAAAGGCTACCGTAGAGCTATCGTAGCGAGTCTCAGGTTGATAGAATATAATTCTTTAGGTAGTGAAGTGTGAGTAGCTTTAATTTACTTTCTGAAAAAATTATGAGGAATGTTGTAGCAAAGACAAGACTATGCTTTTATGTCTCCTCAAAGATGAGTCTTGTAAAACAATTTTACATCATGTTGTAGGAATTCGTAAGAACAGCACTGTCCACACCCAAAATTAATGTGAAAACCAATTCAGTACATTAGCTTCCTGTTATTTTACCAAGTTTTCTCCAGGAATGTGTTGTTTCATAGGCAATAAACGTTGCTTCTCTGTCAAAGGGGGAATCCTTTCAAGAGCTTGCTCAGTTCTGTTTGCTACATTCCTGTAAAAGCTCAGCACATAAAACTATTGCTATTTCTAACTCTTGGGATTCACTAGAAGATACGGCAACATGCCAACAGTTGTATTTGAGCAAAGATAGTAAAATATTTACACTGTGAATGTAAAACTTATCCATATATATGTATTAAATCAGAACTGGTTTTATAAGGGTGATTTGCTATTTAACAATGAAAAAATGTCTTGGATTGGAGTAGGCTTCTGTGCAGCTTTAGGCCCAGGAGCTGCATAACCTGTTAGCAGAACAGAGAGTATGGAGGTAGAGCAAATCCAGATCTAGCCGCTCTCTGTCTTGAAACACACACCCCCCCCACCGATAAATGGTACTGATAAAGCCTATTGTTTTGACCTGGGGAAAACAGGAAAGTGTGCAAAAATCCTTGCTATTACATTGTTACTGGGGTAACAAATGGCATATTTTGCTACAAGCAATTCACCTGTCAGTACAGGTCCATCTGGCCTTCTTTCTCCAGAAACATATTGTACCAGGGTTGCTGGAAGAAGAATAAGAAAGGTAGCTGATTAGTATAGATTCCACATAAGCCAGCTTTTATTTAAAAATGATAGAGGCCTGAGTGCCACACACACAGCTTAGAGGAATAGAGAAAACCCTAGTGAAAATGTAACATAAATCTGCTATTCATTTCTGTGCTTTATTATAAGTCCGTGTTGAAATGCCAAATTACCTGTAAGATAAATGTATACTGATGAACAGGAACTCAGCCAGCCAAAACAACAGGGTTTAGGAATAAAGCCATTTAAGCTGTCCAAGACAACAGACTTTGTGGAGGAGTTATATCACCACAGGACACAAACTGGACAGAAAGGAGAATAGCTCATGACTCTTCTCAAGAGAGCAGAT